CCTTTCTGCATGTGGTGTAACGGTAGCACACTGGGCGCGTACTCGAGAGATTTAGGTTCGAGTCCCGACGAGGTTATTGCACATTTTCTCGTCTCCTGCTTTATAATTATAACGTAATGACTCTGTTACCGTGAAAGACCGAAACTGGAGAATGTCGAATTTCACCGGAGAATGTCAACATTCACCAAATACGTTGGTGAAAGATCGAATATTGCATTACATTCTTGTACATTCGGACCCTCACCGGTGTATGTCGACAATCACAGATATGCTCTGGTGTAGGTCGAAAAGAGAGGAGTATATGTATACGCTGCCATTCCAAAAGGAAGTGTTCCACAAATAAATGCAGTTGTAAAAGCAAGGGCCTTTTGTGCAATTCAAAGTGTCATAATAGTTTAAGTTGTTGCAATAAATAAGATTTGAATCACATAATTTAGTAAGTTTTTAACTCCTATTATTTTCCTTTCTCATTTTGAATGTACTATGTGTTTTAAGTTCTTATATTCTTAAGTTTTTATTTTCAGTCTCAAGTGCGTTTTTTCGCAACTGAATGACGGAGAAGAAAATGTAATATTGTTATATGTTCAATATTCACCATTAGTACATGGTGAAGGTCGACATTGACCGGTGTAAGTCAGAAATAAGAGTATTTGGAAAATATTTCGGACATACACCAAGCGACTATGTGAATGTTGACATTCACTGGTGAAAGTCGACATTCTCCAGATTTCGGTGTTTCACCGTAACAACTATACAATTTCTTACCTTTGCAACATTCGAGACACTCTTTTTGACTTGGTATTCATTTTGAACAATTTTTCTCCTTGTAACGACACTTTGACTTTTTTTATTTTTTTTATTGACAATGGCATCTATCTTTAGATACCGAAAAATCATGTATTTCACAGATTTTTTTAATAACTAAATGTGAATAATTTTTTGCTTAAAGAGCCCAAACATAGCCTTCCGTTCATTGCTTCTTTAAAAGCACAATTTGAATGAAAACAAAATTATCAAGTAGCAGACAATAATTTACAAATTCAAAAAATATAGCTGCAGTTAAAAATAAATTTTCCAAGCAGGCGATTTTTTTATGGTAAATAAAAACCGTTAAAAAAAATCTGAAAACAGCCTCTGTGTTTTCTAATTTAGATGTGAATGCAATTGATTTTATTTTTGTCGTCAAATCGAACGGCTTTATAGTCAACCGTGACGGCAGACATCGTCTGCGTTAGGAAAACGCAATTACGTTGGAGTAGAACCACTTCTATAGGAATAATTTCTCGCACTAAAAGCAGTCTTTGCAGTAGCTCAAGAAAGAATACTTATCTGCTGCTTGCTTTCAAGTAATGGTTCTAATCTTAGTTTCTTTTTAAATTTAGATTTGAAAAACAGAAAAGTAATGAAAAATCGAAGCAAGTGGCCTGGAAAGTTATTCTACATAGTTATTTGAGTACGAATTCCTTGAAACTTGGTAACGAACGGAAATAACTGAGCGGGATCCAAATACAGAATTCCATATCATTGCCGAAAATGGAATTTTGATTACTTCACACATTCTCTCTCATATTTTAGACATCTGTTTATTATCGTTCCAAATTCTTGCACTAAATTTTGTTCAGTTTTTATCTCAATGTTCCGTTAGAAAATGGGTTGAAATAACAACATGTCATGTTTACAACTTCAATGGCAACATATTTCATTCATGCCTAATTCGTATTTCCATTTACGTGAAATGTTTTTTACAACCATTTCCGATTAAGGACAAGCAAATCAAAAATGTAAATATAAAAGCATATTTTGATGGATTTGTCATTAACCTTTCACCTTTTAGACCATTGGAAATAGAAGATTGCCGTTGTTCTCTACCAGCAGATAAAAAGAATTCTTCAAAGTTTCAGTTTATTTCACATTTTTTTTTCACCTTTAAACCTTCGCTTCTTTCAATCTTGCCCAGAAGTATTTAAATTTAAGTAGTATTAAAGAAGAACGATTCAGTGCCTTTTAGGCCTTTCACATCTACGTATACAAAATCAGAAAACACACTGAGAACTTGAAACCAGTTGCCGTTTTGCCTCACTTCGCTTAGTAAGGTGATAGTTTCCTTGCCCACACGTGGCGTGGCTTATTTCCTTCCCCTGGCTTCACTTTCTTCGTACTGCAATAGCAGAGACGCCATCTCCATGTATTCCTACCTCCATGGTTTTAAATCATCACAATCTGGACCACATACAATAATAATATCTGAAATTCCATTTCGATGAATTGAGCGGATAGGCCGCTGGGGGTTCAGATATCAGAGAAATTGTTTTATGACCACCCTGCATTTTACACACTGTGAAGCTGAGAATTACTGAATAGAAAAACATAAATGTGTGATAAAACGTTTTATTAGTTAAAAAAATTATTTTAAAGCTATTTAATACTTTTTGTATGAATGTTAAAACTACAGGAAATTTTTAAACGGAATTTTAATTTTAGGGAAAAAATGTAGGATGTTAAAACATTATATTAGCGGATGCCCTTAAACCATAAATAGACTTGATGTTAAATAAAAATTAACAAAAGAAAAAAATATATCTTAACTTTAAGTAACATTTCATAAAAAAAATTATTAATTTATTTAAGCCGTAGGCAATCACGCTAGGCTAAAAACTATTCCAGCAGAAAAGAATTTTTGAATAAACTTATGATGAAAATATAACGCATTAACTTTAGTTTTAAGTACACCTTTGAAGGTCATTTACCAGATGTTATTAATAAAAACATATTTCAGGCCCATTTCTTTAGTAGCTTTTCTTGTGGGGGGAGTTATTGGTGTAAGGGCAATTTTACCCCAGCTCTATTTTCGAGAATGAAATGTAATAATCATAACAAGCTAAAATAGTTCTGTGTACAATAAGTAAGTATTTTATGCTCTGATATACTTATTCACTGGCAGTGAAGATGTAGAAAAGGAATCCAGATAAAAATCCAATAAAAAAGTAAGATGCAAAGCTTTGATGCAAATATATCAGTTTATAGAAATGACTGGTTTTTCCCATGTGTAAACGTATATACGAGTCAGTTTCTCTTTGAAAGTCCTCCACGAAGGCATCCCTCCATTTGAGTAGATAGTTCTACTGTGATTTTCCATAATCAACAAAACAAAAAACAAATCATAAAAATTTTAGACATTTTCTGCCTTTTATAAATTCATTTAATACTCCTAAAATTTTTTCGTTTGTAACCAAATCACACCAGATTATTTATTTACTTCACATTATATTTATTTCTCATGCACGCTAGCCTTTTATAAGCACACATGTGTGCTTGTGAAGATTAAAACAGAGGAAACTTGAAAATTAATTTGAAGGCTAAAACACAGGAAAATTTTGAAAGGCTGTCACATATTAAAACATTTTCCATCATTTCAATACCTCTGTTCTACGCCATCTATGTAGATGGTTATCCAAATAATTCCTTTTACCCAAAAGACGTAATATTAATTAAAAGTGAAAAAAAAAGTGATATAGCTGAGTTCGATTACGAAAATAATATATTTTCATATTGTTCACATTAAAACAATTTTCCCTGTGTAATTATTACTTGCCGAAAGATATTACGCTTCACATGGCAAATCCCATCCTGGTAAAGCTATCGTATGAGAAAAATGGAAGTAATGTAAACGCAGCACATGGTAAGTGTCTTCATACCGTTACTGCGAGAAACAAATAACATCTTTAATTTCCATGCATATACTAGATTCTGAGTGTTGCCAATCTGTAAAGCAGAAACCTGTAATTTAACTCCTAAATTTAACAAATCTGCTCTTGATTAAAAAACAGAGTAATTTAAAAGCAACAAACACAGTTTTTGATAATTTAAAGTTTTTATTTAGCTTTTTATTAATTCTTTTTTTACATAAATTAAAAGATATATAAAAGATTTTGAAATTTTAATTTGAACTTATATATATAAGTCTATATATACATAAGATTTGAAAATTTGCAGCTATGTTGTGATTAATAAAAGATGGATCTAAATTTATATATAATACAAATGTCTGTTACTTTAAAATAGGCACTTCAAGGACGTAGCCCCCCTCCCGTCTTTAACGGGGGGTGTCGTCATCATCACACAGAGAGAAGTAAGGAATTTTTAGCAAACTCTTTTTAGAGAATTTGACTTTTTTCTGCAGCAGTCGTTACTATACTTTTGACTCAGGATTTGGGGCAAATTACCTTGGATGCCTATTGTATGAAATAACAGACTTGGGTGCCTATTATAGACTATAGTACATAATCTTTTTTATATTTTTATGATGTTTATAACTTTTACTATTTTAATATATAAAATATTTTTCATGGTAAACTCTAGAGTTAGAATGTAATCTGAAGTCTTCATACTGCAATGTATTTTTGTTTTATTAATTTTCGAGCAGCTTATACAATTAAATGGCATAAATAATAATAATTAAACTTCTGCAAAATAATAACCTTCATAATTATAAATACAAGTGTATGAATGGCTAATGAATGAACAAGAAATATTATATTTTGAATGCACGAATAGAGTTTGCATTTATTTGGGCACATACGTGCTTTGAAAAGCTGCTTATTTGTAAGAATCAAATGCAAATTTAATCGTGGCTATATTTTTGCAGATACGGAAGTGTCCCTGTGCCCTTTAATTCCTATTTAATTTTGACCTCGAAAATGGCTGTCGACATCATGGAGAACTTCCGATATTCTGCAATGCAAAAACACTGATTGAGATTACTTTGAACACAGAATTTAAGACCTCACGTGCTACCAGCAAACGATTTAGCTTCACGAAGCAAGGGTATCCCACATCTTTCGAATAGCCCAACTTCGTTAACTATGTTCCGGTTATTTGAGCACACGCAATTCCGCAAAAAAAGAAATAATTTTACTACTCACTGACCCGCAAGGCATCACGGGAGCTACAAATGAAATAAACGAGCAGCTAAACACAGCTTTCATTTTCAAGCAAAGAAATTTGCGTCCGGAAAGTTCTCTTACGAAAGACCTTTTAAAGTTGACCAATCATTTGACAGCTTTTTAGTCCTCAAATCATGCTTCTGGTCCGAGCAATCATTAAAGTAAATGACGGCAAGGAAGGCGAATTGTTTCTTAGTTATTCTTCGGAAATTTTTATCTGAACTCTGATTGATTATGTGCAGAATTTTTCAGCATTAATTTTTTTTTTTTTTTTTGGAATACAAGATAAAGATAAATCATCTCTTCTTGGTGAGTATTAAACTTTTTACATCTTTTTTAATGCACAATAATTTCATCAAAAATAAGAAGCTTCGAAGATCAAAAGTACTGAGTTATTTTTCCACTTGAGCAAACAAACAATGCTACATGTTGCTACAGAAAAGTGTTTAAGTAATGTAATGGTGTTTTAAATATTGCAATGTATTTTTTGTGATTTTTATATCTGTATATATATATATATTTTTATCTTGTGAATTACCTTGTGTCTTCAGTTACTTATATATTTGTTCCAAAATTTAGAAAATTCACTCAGAGTTAAATTTTATGTTATCCTTAATATAAGAAAAAAATTGTAATAAAATGTGAATTTTTTTATAAATTATTAATTTTCTGTCTTTGCAAGTGGGTAAATAAAAACAAAAAAGAAACAATTTTGTACCAGGCATATAATAACTTATGGTAGAAATGACTTTTATTAATTACAATAATGTATTTTAATTTATATCAGTTGGGTATATTATTATAAAATAAAGTTCTGAAAAGTGTATTGATTCTTGTGTGTATTGATTGATTGATTCTTGTGTGTATTCTTGAGTGTATTGATTAATTTATATCAATTGATATATTATAATGATATATTTAAAATGATAATGTATTTTAATTTATATCAGTTGAATATGTTGTAATAAAATAAAGTCCTGAAAAGTGCTTCGATTATTGATAAGTATTTTAATTTATATCAATTGGATATATTATTCTAATATATCTAATAATAAAGTATTTTAATTTATATCAGTTGGATATATTATTATAAAATAAAATCGTGTAAAGTCTATTATTCTTGAATTGCTCAGTTTGTTAAGAAAATAGAGACTGAGTAAATTCACAACTTAAATTAAAGTTTTCATGTATTGCCGAATGGCAACACTCTGAGAACTGATTATGTGCGAGGCGCTTAGAAACCAAACTGAAATCCCATTTGTCACACGCCTCGGTAGTGGAGAAATGGTTAAGACTTCTGAATACTGTAAGTTCGACCAGGGTTCGATTCCGGCAAAACGGCTCACTGCATGGGTGGTTTTGCTGCTTTTTTTCCCATGTGTAACATGAATATGAGCTAGTTTCCTTAAAATTTTCCACGAAGGCGTCCTGCCTATCAGATCATTAGCCTGCTTTGTTACATTTGAATAACCGAGCTTAACATAATGCTTCGCACATTAACCAACATTTGTCAAGACAAGTGGATGATGCGTCCACGGTAACGTAGTGTAAAAATCTACAAACTTTTCTAACGCCAATCACAATATAATTTAAATGATATTCATGAAACTTTAGAAATATCACCTAGCTTTCTTAAGATAAGACTAATTTTAATAGCTTAGTTTTGATTAAACTATTAATTACAAGTAAAAATCCCAATTTCTTTTTTTGCTGGAATGTGACTTTTATTCCTTCCTTTTAAAGATTTACCAGTGGCCGAGCTGTTAAAGTCGCTAAACACTGGTAGTTCGATCCGGAATTCGAATTTCGGGGAACAGGCTGGCTGCATAGACGTTTTCGTAGTCGTCCCCATGTGTAACGCGTATATGAGCCAGTTTCCCTTAGAAAGTCTTGCACTAAGGCATCCCTCCCCTTAGGCAGATAACCCTCGAGTGCTTTGCTGTTTTTAAATAAACCAAACATTCCTTCTAAATTTTACATCCAAATTGTAAACCATTTTTTTTTAAAGCTTAAATTGTAAATCAAAGGTATATGTTTTAAATTTACAAAAGTAAACCGACAGGGCATGTTGTCTGTAGGGAACAGAGAAGAATTAAAATATTGTGACTTTAATAGCTTCGATATTTGTATCGAAAGCTGCTGATAAATCGAGAAGTTCTGAATTCTAACTCTGGTAGAAATAAAATTGTTTTACAGTTTTCCGATGACCAGGAATAAGAGCTAATTTCATAATCTTTATTATTTGGAGTTTAATATGATATAGTCAATAACATTTGTTGACGTTTCCTATATTTTTCCCTTCAGGTGTGCTCTAGCTATGTTGAGTTAATCTTCCTGAAATGGAGGTTAAATTTCTAATTTATAGTCCAAAGGGACTTTGTTCATGAGGGACTATAATTTTCGTTTTGCGATTTTGCGTCGAATCACTATAAACGGCGTATCACTTTTCAAATTGTTGCCACCAAACGTTAGAGTCACGCATTATATTTGAAAAAATTAAACAATGAAAAATCTGCATAAATGTATGTATGTTTCTCGCATTGGGATAAAACAACGGTACCTAGAGCCATCCAATTTTTGAATGACGTAATCCTACTGCGAATATGTGCATCTGAAAGCCCAAATTTGAAATTTGGAACTTGTTTTATTATCGATTTCATATTTTGTAAAACTTGTAATTTTTGATTAACAAACTGAACGATTTAAAAGCGAGCAATGGCAACACTCCACGGAGGGAAAAAAAAAAAAACATTTTTATCTCCAGAGCGCGGAAATTCTAAAGATACGCTCATTTAAAAATTATTTTGCGACATGGCTGTTGAACTGAATTTTATGGATTAAGTGCAAAGAATATAATATTTAATAAAGAAAGGTGATACACAAGCGTTAAAAAATCGCCCCTTTGGACTATTTAGAATCTGAAACCTTTCAGAATTCTTTTTTTATTTATTTATTTTGAGCGTGTATATTACTTTTTTAAACCTAACCGCCCAAATTCATCTTAGAATATAAATTCAATATCAAATAATGATAACGTACGTATGTGTGAAATATTTCAATATAAATGAATGGTAGAAGAGTGTGAAAATTAGTTTCAAAGATAGAGAAACCATTTTAAATAAAGCGGTATGAAAAAAATAAACGCAGATTTCTTTTAGAAACGGATAACAATAAAATATGAATTTTCCGAGTCAAAGTACTTAGCTCTTTTACTGTAACATGTTAGCTTCTCCCATTACAGGCACGTGTTTGTAAACGTGCACCATCATCTAATCTCTCAAAAAGGCTACTTTAGGAAATTAAAAAAAAAAAAAAAAAAAAATTAAGCTAAAGGTCAACAAAAGCGTAAAAGAAGGAAGAGAATCTAGGAAGACAAAGGGGAAATAAATGAACAAGGACAATGTAGAGTGAGATCAACAGGATCATGTAATTTTTTTCAGAAAAGAGGTGAAAAGCTATTGTGTTCTTTGGCACTACCGTAATTAATGGTTGAGATTTTTATTTGTTTGTTGTTAGAAGCCGAAAAGCGGTTTCTGAGATAAATGTTTATCGGATGTATGTGCATGTCTTTAGGGAAAATGTAGTTTCCGGTGAAATGTCGAGAAACAGTGATGATGTGAGAATTTTAGCTTGTGAAAAACGCAATTTTTCAATATCTTTGTTTTCTTAGATATACAAGACATGATAATGAACTAATATCCCTTTTGCGACATTAAAACTGGTCGTTATTGAGCCACTAATGATTTGACAGTGTGGTACTTTGCGAGTCAAATAATAAATATACTTTACCAGCTTTTTTATGCGTTATTTAAATGTCTGGTGTCCAGTTCATGTATCGTTACTGAAGTTATCACTAGCCAGTGTGACGCGTTTTGCGATGCCGGACACAATCCGGCGCTTGTCGTAAGAGAAATAATGGGATTTTGATTTCAGATTAGCGCACAGCTTCTTTCTGGAAACTTCTGAATAACTTCCTAAATCATAGATAGAACAGGCTGGGTATTTGAGCTCGAAGTGAGCTCTTAGTTAAAGTAGTTTGTTATAGAATAGGTTCTTGTTGTAACCAATCTCTTTTGTCTTGCAAAGGTCAGCACAACCCTACGATATTCTTCGTGGCAAGAAGACCTATGCGCATGTCTTTGCCAAGAGCCTTCAGCATCATACGAGTGGCAGCCCGAATTTTCAGCTCAGTTCTGAGAGAAAACATACCGGAGCAACGGGTCCGAGAATCTCCCCTCATTCTTTTTCTACCACCGCCTCTCGAGAGCACTTTCGGCTCGCCGCATATGTAGAGCGCCATCCTGCCGCCCAGACACTGTATATTTACAACATGCTCGAACTCGGGCCTTTCAGTACGACGGCAGTCAAAGGCACTAATCACTATACCGGTAAGACGCAATTATAGAACAGGTCTGTTGACAAAGAGATCAATACTATTTTTGTTCTTTAGTCCCTTACCACTGATGAGAAGTAACTGCAACTTTTTGGGGTTGATAGAAATCTTATAATGATGATAACGTTTACGAAATTTCAAGTTAGCATCATCATATCCTGGAACTTCTACACCAAGGTTTGTACTTCTGGACTGCAGTATTTTTAACGTTTTCGGGTTGTTCTTTTTGTTATTATGTGAAAGATGTAAATTTCTTGGTATCAAACATATAGGAGAAATACCGATATCTTTCATAAGAGAAGAACAAATTGGTAATCACTGATTTCTACAAGAAGCAGAATGCCAATTATTTATCAGAAATATTACGTGCTTCATAAACCATACATAAAATTAAATCTGTAATTCTGTAATAGTACCACCCACTGAAGATCAATAGCATCAGCTTTTAATATGATTGTCTTTATTGTGAATAAAATAATTAACAAGATTTAAATTTGAAAAAAGCAAATAAATTAATTAAATTAAATTAAAATATTCTGCATCTTCTTCCGAGACATATGGAAGGGAGTACGAGTAGATGTAAAATTCTTTCTGAAAATAATTTGTGGCGTTATAAATGAAAATTTGTTGTTACTATAGGTGAGGCCTACCTACGTTTGAATGACTGTAATAGAAAAGGAGCAGATTATTAATTTGCTACCGTAATATTGTAAAACAGACGAGATAGATTCGAAAACTTAGTTTAAAAAGCTGGAACGTTTTGAAATTTCAGTAAAGGTTTTATAGTTAAAGATTGGCTTTTAAGCAATAAAAAAGGAGCCGAAATGTACAAATAAATTCTGTATACATACAGAATTATTTGTTTTGAATATATACAGAATTATTTTTATTTAAGCAGAATTTATTTGTTTTGATT